CCTTGGCAAGTAGATTTAAGGAGAATTCCAAACCATTTTATACATATATCAGAAGCAAGAGGGTAGTTAGTGAAAGGGTAGGTCCACTCAAGGACAAAGAAAAGAATTTATGCATGGAGCCAGGGGAAGTGTGTGAGGTCCTTAATAAAGTACTTTGTAGTGGTATTAGCCACGGAAAAGGACAGGAATGAAAGATTGAGAGGGGTACATTGATATTCTAGGGCATGTTGATATTAAGGAAGAGGTGGTGTTGATATCTTGAAAATCATTAAGTTAAATAAGTCCTCAGGGCCTGATGGGATCTATCCAAAGATACTGAAGGAGGTAAGACAGGAGATTACTGGGGCCTTGACAGAGATCTTCCAACCTCTTTAGACACAGGCAAGGCCCCATAATACTGGAGAATAGACAATAGTGTTCCTTTGTTTAAGGAGGGAACAGGGATAATCCAGCAAATTATTGACTGGTGAGACTTACATCACTGTTAGGGAAATTATTGGTGAAGATTCTTAGGCACAGGATTTACTCGCATTTGAAGAAGAATGGACTTATTAGGAACAGTCAGTATGCCTTTGTGTAGAGAAGGTCTTGTCTCACAAATTTAATTGAGTTTTTTGAGGAAGTGGCAAAGATGGTTGATGAGTGTAGGGTGGTGTATGTTGTCTACGTGAACTTTACTAAAGCATTTGACAAGGTCCCTCATAGTAGGAAGGTCCAAAGATTAAGTCACGAAATCCATAGTGAATTGGTAAGTTGGATATAAAGTTGGCTTGGTCTTAGAGACAGGTGGTGGTTGTGGAAAGGTTTTTGTTCTGATTGGTGGCCTGTGAACAGTTGTGTTCTGTAAGGATCAATGATGGGATCTCTGAAGAAGGATCTAGGCCCGAAACGTCAGCCTTCCTGCTCCTCTGATGCTGCCTGGCCTGCTGTGTTCATCCAGCTCTACACCATGTTATCAATGATGGGATCTTTGTTGTTTGTAACACATATAAATGAATTGGATGAAAATATAGGCAGTCTGTTTAAAAGTTTGCAGACAACTCAAAAATTGGTGGAGTTGTGGTTAGTGAGGAGGGTTATCAAAAGATACAGCAGGATTCAGATCAGTTGGAAATTAGGCAGATAAATGTGAGATGGAGTTTAATCTGGACAAGTGTGAGGTGATGCTTTTTGGGACGTCAAATGCAAGAGGAAAGCATGCTGTGAATGGCCAGACCCTTATGAGCATTGATATATAGAGCGATCTTGGGGCATGAGGTCATAGTTCCTGGAAAGTGACAACACTGGTGAATAAGATGTAAAGAAGGCGTATGACATGCTTCCCTTCATCGGTCAGGAAATCGAGTATAAATGTTGGCAAGTCATGCTTCAGCTGTATAATACTTTAGTTAGGCCACATTTGGAATATTGTGTGTAGTTCTGATCACCACACTATGGGAAGGAATCCGAGGCTTTGGAGAAGGTGCAAAAGGGTTTATCAGGATGTTGCCTGCATTGGAATGTATTAGCTTTAAGGAGAAGTTGGACAAATTTGTATTATTTTCACTAGAATGTAAGTAGGAGGCTGAGGGGTAACCTGATACATGTGTATAAAATTATGAGGGCACGGATAGTCGAGAGACTTATTTCCCCAGGGTGAAATGTCAAATATTAGGGGGCATAGATTTAAGGTGAGGGGGGAAGGTTTAAAGGAGTGGGGCAAGTTTTTTACACAAAAGTGGTAAGTGTCTGGAATATGCTACCAGGGGAGGTGGTAGAAGCAGATACGTTAGCAACATCTGAAAGGATTTCAGACAGACACGGAAACGGGTAGGGAATAGAGGGATACGGACCATGTGCAGGCAGATGGGATTAGTTTACAATAGCATCATGGTCAGTATAGACATGGTGGGCTGAAGGTCCTGTTCCTGTGCTGTACTATTCTGTGTTCTATGCTACAATAGGACAATTTCAAGCCAAGTCCATTTGCTTACTTACAATGAGGAAGTGAAAACTTAAGAACCAATATGCCCATCAGGGGATTCCTGTGCACCTCTTCGACAAAGGTTAGTGCTATGGGGAAGATTTAAATACGGATATATATCTTACTGAAGACAGTGCTCACAACATGAGCAATAAGAGTGGTTGGATTTGCCAATCTTGTCCCCTTTGTATATTCCTTGCTGTTTTGCTTGTTGTAGAGCCTCTGGTAATCAGAAATCACTGGAAGTCATTATTCTTGAAGAAAACTAAACTCTTTTGAAGACAATCAATACAGGTCTAATACAGAGCCCAGGACTGAAGCATGATCTATGAGCGATGTGTCAGGCAAATATAGTGTTAGGTTTCACATCTAAATGTCAGAGTTGCACTCTGAGCCAGATTGGTATGGATTTGCAGACAGTTAAACACAAACTTCGGCCAACAATGCAGCATTCCCTCAGTACTGCTAAGGACTGTGGGAGGTGCTGTCTTCTGGATGAGACAAAAGCCCTATTTGACCCCCTCAGTGGATGTAAAAGGTCTCACACCACTATTTTTAAGCGAAGCAGGGATCAAAATGATTAAAACAGATTTTCTGGTTATTGCGACACTGCTGTCTGTGGGAGCTTGCGTGCACAAATTAGTTCTTGCCATTTGTGCATTACAACAGCTAATATACTTTGATAAAAGTAGTCTGTTAGCTGGAAAGTGCTTTGCGATTTGGGAAAGGTACCACACAAACGCAACTCTCTTTTCTAAAATGCAATCACGATATTCATTATTTCACAATGGAATCAATTTCAGGAATGAGGGGCTGTAGCAGCAGCTCTTCAATCAAAGCAATCACAAGTTGCAATTCCCCCAACGCAGCTAGGATGAGTTAACAATCCTTGGTTTAACAATATGGCAGAGCAAAACAGGGCAGTCTGAAAGTGAGAGATAGTAGGAACTGCAGATGCTGGAGAATCCGAGACAACAAGGTGCAGGGCTGGATGAACACAGCAGGGCAAGCAGCATCATAGGAGCAGAGAGGCTGACGTTTCGGGCCTAGACCCTTCATCAGAAAAGGGGGAGGGGAAGGGGGTTCCGAAATAAATAGGGAGAGAGTGGGAGGCGGATAGAAGAGGGATAGAGGAGAGGATAGGTGGAGAGGAAACAAACAGGTCGAAGAGGCGGGGATGGGGCCAGGAACGGTGAGTGTAGGTAGGGAGTTAGGAAGGGGATAGGTCAGTCCAGGGAGGACGGACAGGTCAAGGGGGCGGGATGCACCTCCCAGTCGCGAACCATTTCAACTCCCCCTCCCATTCCTCAGACGACATGTCCATCCTGGGCCTCCTGCAGTGCCACAACGATGCCACCCGAAGGTTGCAGGAACAGCAACTCATATTCCGCTTGGGAACCCTGCAGCCCAATGGTATCAATGTGGATTTCACAAGTTTCAAACTCTCCCCTTCCCCCACCGCATCCCAAAACCAGTCCAACTCGTCCCTGCCTCCCTAACCTGTTCTTCCTCCCACCTATCCCCTCCTCCCACCTCAAGCCGCACCTCCATCTCCTACCGACCAACCTCATCCAGCCCCCTTGACCTGTCCGTCCTCCCTGGACTGACCTATCCCCTTCCTAACTCCCTACCTACACTCACCTTTCCTGGCCCCATCCCCGCCTCTTCGACCTGTTTGTTTCCTCTCCACCTATCCTCTCCTCTATCCCTCTTCTATCCGCCTCCCACTCTCTCCCTATTTATTTCGGAACCCCCTTCCCCTCCCCCTTTTCTGATGAAGGGTCTAGGCCCGAAACGTCAGCCTCTCTGCTCCTATGATGCTGCTTGGCCTGCTGTGTTCATCCAGCCCTGCACCTTGTTGTCTGAAAGTGGTTTTCTTTTTTGCCTTTTTACACGGCCTACGTTCAGAGTATGCTGCACAAAAGCAAACGATATGCTCATTCCAAATTCCAATATACTTCAACTAAATCCCTCTGAGCACATCCAGTTTGTTGCTGCTTCTAGATCCCAGCTGGCATCTATCACACTGGATCCTGCTGCCAATTATACAAAAAGCAACGCACTTAACTCCGCATATACCAGCCTTAAATGAATATGAATGGTCTAATTTAGACAAATAACCTTGCGGTTATCACAGATTCACAAACCCCTGTGTCATTACTCATGCCACTGTTGAGCCACACAGGTTATTAATGATGAAACTGTGTCTGTATGAGTGCAATTAGGTTCAGAATAATGCTGTGCTTGATAGGATTATGTATTTCTCATTGCAATCGTGCGTAAAGGACACAGCTTAATGAGCCCAGACCTGTGGAAAAACAATTGAAAACCTGGCCTCGAGAGCTCTGCTCCTCAAATTATCCACTTGGCTGAAGATTTTGTTGGAGATTCATTGCACTCTCACTTGATTTTTCCCTTTCATGTTTCGTTAGCTACAATAATCTTTTAATACATACAAACCTTTTAGATTGTTTCCGCCAGCATGCATCTGGAGGGCACTTTGGCTAAGCCAGTGCTCAAACAGATTCCCCTTTCTGTAACTATTAATTATCATATATTTTGAATGCTTTGCAATGTATTAAGCACTGTCACTAAGCACCAGGATGATCACACACACACTGTCCCAGAGCACTGTGGTGATTATGTGCACACTGTCCCAGAAAACAGTGGAGATCATGCGCATACTGTCCCAGAGTGGAGTGGTGATCATGCAAACACTGTCCCAGGGCACTGTGGTGATTACGTGCACACTGTCCCAGAGCGCAGTGGTGATTACGTGCACACTGTCCC